GCCGGCCGGAATCGATCATCCCTTAACTTCTTCCGCTCTACCTCGCTTCGTTAATAAAGTTTTCTTAATTATTCACTCGGGTCGTTCGTTCAAACTCTGCTGCTTCCGCTCGATCGATATTCAATCAACGAATTCCTCCCCCGCCTCTCCCAAAAAATTTGAAATGGGTCGAATTTTAAGCGAAAACCTTTGGAAACATTGTCGCTGGAGCACGAGCATTTTCTGAGAAATTAAGGAAATCGTTGAATAATAATAGCGAGAACAATTTTATATAATCAAATAACATCAAGCAAAAATATTACAAAGACACCATGAAGAAATTTTATTTTAGTCAAAGGTCAGACATATTTCATATTTAGTCATTTCAAGTTACTATTTTACTATAAATGACGCTCGTATGAAATTAAAATAAATATGCAATAAACAAAATGGAAATAAACGGAATGGTATTAATAAAAAAAATATTAAAAAATAATTGTTGATAGAATTCCACCATTAATTTGAACAATCGTTTTCAAACGAGGCTGCTACACTCATAATACGCAAATTTTGAATTCGTTAACATAGTAAAATCCATGACATATTGTACAATATGAATTAAGTCTCCTTTCTAATGTAACAAATAAATGAGTATTAGTTTTATTTGTCACTCGAGGTTAGAAGAAAGTTGACATTAATTTTGAAGCAATTATCAGCATTTGTTATTAGCTATTTTCTGTGAAACGATAGAAAAACTTGTCTTCATGATTGCCACGATGAACGAATAAATGTTTGCTATTCGCGAATTTTGTCTCGTCAGATCGAGTAGTATAGGCCACGTACGAGTGACCCGAATGAAAGAGGCGGCCGCGCAGGTCATCGGGTGATTCGTGCACGAATGTGCGGAAATAATTTGCGTTGGAAATGAACAATGCCATGTGTCACATGGTAGCCACCCATCGCGAGCCACCTCGTCGAGTTGTGCGTTTACTTCCTGTCGAGATAGACCACTTGTGACCGATTTCCATGGACATTCAGAAGAATGAACGTGAGAACGGAGCAACTGTTTCGAGCTTTATGCTAACGCAGTCAAAGAGACGTGGATCCCACGTACGATAACAAGATCGAGTAAATTCTGTGATAAATATCTGATCTTAAACTTTCGTTGAAAAGATTTTTTCAGATTTTCCTGGTCGTCTGTTTAAAATTTGTTTGTTTCTGTGTTAGAAATTAAACGAAATTCCTTAAGGGGGTAGTTTAATCTAGAGTTCCATTTTTATGGTCTTCTTAGGAATTTTCTTACAAAAAAAGTATGAGTTTCTTAATTTCAACATTTTGTATACATATTTATCTATGTTTTACGAATGTTCACAATTTTTTTCAAGTGAAAATAATCAAAATTGATTTAATTATATGTCATTACACGATTCTGATCAATCTGCTTATTCTGAATTGAAAAAATTAATACTGATTAGTGTATAATTGTGATTATTGAGTGAACCAAAATGAGAAAAGGTAGTGAAAATTTACAAAATGGTGACACTCTGAATTTTGAATATCAATTTTCTTTTTTTCATGTTTAGCTAAAAAAACAATGATGAAAATTCTTCTTCTTACAATGACATGTAATTCAGTCAATTTTGATTATTTTTGCTTGAAAAAATTGTGAAAATTCGTAGAACATAAATAAATACATATGCAAGATGTCGAGATCGAGAAACTTACACTCTTTCTTTTTTTCAATCCCTAGAAAGACGACAAAATGAAACTCTAGACTAGAAACCTTAATTGCGTTCGATCCGAGTTTATCGGCAGACTTCTTTTTGTTTTTAAAATTCAGTCCAGTATCTCGAGAGCGCAAATAACCGATCGAAGCGGAAGATAAATCGAATACAGGACGTTGTGCGGCGCGAGCTACGCGAACGTTTTCTTATAATATAAAAAATAAAAATGTCAGAGAAAAAAGTAAAAACTAAGATACAATTGAGAAACTCGGGAAGAAGTTGAATCCGGAGGACGTCAGTGATCTGGCCAGTGCTTTTCCCGTTACCTATCTGGATTGAACTTCTAAAGTAATCTCTTTTCCCCGTTTTATCCGCGGTATTGTAGGATAACATAATTGCGTACCGAGTTATCAATTGTTCCTTACAAGGATACCGAAGACAGAGGAGACACAATTACATTTCATGGAACGATTTCTATCCACAATATAAACGATAAAAGACATTTGAAATGATTATCAAGATTTACTTAAAATAAATACATGGTTTTTACAAATTAGTAAATTACATTTAGTTATATTACTATTGATTATTATTAAATCATTAATTACGAGAATTTATCATATAAATGTCTTACTTTTTTAGGTGATCATAATAGTTGATTATATTTAAAAGTATTGGAAGTTCAAAATGGTCAATGATAAACGAAAAGGAGAATTCACTTTTATTAAACTAGTGATTTTCAAAGTTTATGCAAGTTTCTACCTTCCAACCATAAAATAAAGAATATTTTTCACCGAAGATATATAGGACTTAAATAATATACGAAAAATATTCTCCTACAGTAGTTAAATTTCGATGAATGCATGCATTAAAATTTTACAGATACACTGGGTTGTCTGATATGCCCACTGAAGAATGAAAAATGTGTTTTATAATTACAAAATTTTAAATCATTACGAAAAAATTATTTTTGGTTGCGGGGGGCCATTACAACCATTTTTGGTCATTAAACATACTCCCAAAATCCTACGCATTTCCGAGAAAAAAATTCCTTATTAAAAATCCAATGTCTGACCATATATCACATTTTTCCCTGAAATTTCATACGTATGTTTATTAAAACATCATAACTTCTGAACGGATGGGAGGATTTTAATGTTTCAAACGGCAAACAACGCGTATTTTGGTGAAGAATATTTAGAAATTCTAACAATGTACGAAAAGTTGTTGCTTAACCCCGTAAAGTAAGAAAAACTCCCTAAAAATAGCCCAATCTTCAAACACTCATAACTTCTGCAATATTGAACGTATCTCAATGAAATTTAGTATGGAAGTAGAGATCGTGGATGCCTACAAAAAAGTACTAAATAAAATTTCCGCAGGACGTCAAACAAATTTATTAAAAATTAAAAACGACTTTTTAAAAGCAGACAGGGGATAGGTGCTGAAATTTTGCGAGGAAAAGAAAAAATATCAAATCGTTTTGGAAAAATTATTTTTAGTTGCAAGGGTCAATTGCAATCATTTTTGGTCAATACATATACCCCTGAAATCCTATCCACTTTCGAGAAAAAAATTCCTTATTTCTATTGTTGAACTAGGTACTAAGAGGTAAAGTTGGACGTGGTCGCCAGATGACCAAATTCCGTGCAGTTAAGTGTTAGGGTTTCTAAGGGAACCTTAACATCGCGGGGTTTATGATATGGACGTGACTCTCTGCTATTTTTTAGGATTAGGACTTCGAGACATTTTTACTTGACAAATTAGGATACGGTTATTAAGGAACCTCCAAACTCCACACGGGACTTGGAATCCTTGAAGCATTTCCTTGCCTCAATAGCGATTGACGTATCGTAAAACCGCGTTGGCGCACATCTGCAGACCACCGGGGTCTTGGGAGCTTTGGCTTTTCCCAAATGTTTATAAAAAAAGCAACGTTCTTGCCCACTCTTGCATGGTGTACTTGGACACTGGACAGCAGGGTGAGCGGGAATGTTGCAAATTGTTAGAAACCACCCTGCCAAGGTGACGACGATGAGGCTTGACCAATCTTTCCTCCAGTAGGCAACGTTCGTCGTTGTCACCTTGACAGGGGAACCGAGGTTTCCCTATGGGGAAAATCAAGATAGGAGAGTTAGATTAATTTTGACAGAGTTACACCTTTACATTTACTCTCCGCAAGAATTCATTCCTGCCTAACAGAAGCATCGTCTTCTGTGGGTAAAGGACAAGGTTATCAAGTTTTTTCCCAAACACCAGTTTGGGTGGTCCTTCGAGCACAAGATCAAGGGTACAAAAATTAGGAGCACAGAGTGTCTATGCAATAAGCATCGACCACGAGCAACATTTGAAACAACACGAATATTTCTTTGTGGTCGAAACAGTTAAGTAATTTGGAGGGTCTTAAACCCTCGTACTATTAATATTTGAAAAACAGAAGCCTCGTCCTAAGCTGTGTTACAATAAACGATGTTTGGAATTTCAAACACTGGCGAAATAATTGATGACTACTGTACAGACATGATATTATGCTGTAGAAAATTTGACGACTTTCTGTATTCGAGGCGCGGGGGACTATTGCACTGTAGCGGCCATTGTATAGCCACTACGCCCTTGCCAGAGTATGAATGGGAATGGAATGTAAGGATAGTTTTAAGCTTTCTATTTTCTCCATTTTTCCAGGGTCTCGTGCGAGCCTGGTCGTCCTGTTAAACACTTGGCGACCAGAGTCGTGTGAGGCGTCTGTTCTCCTTCAAGGTTTCGCCTGGGCCTCGGACCACCCCGATCCGGGCCCGGCGAGCCTCTTGACTTTTATTACTCTCTTTCACTGTAGCTAAACTTTTCCTACGCTAAGTACTTTCCAGTTTCGTTTTTCCGTCTTTCTGTCATATCTCTTTTTCTCTACCTTTACTATCAGGGTAAAAATGTGTATATATTGAAGGGACGCTTGAAGAAAGCCCAGTCCGTAAAAGACGCGTTCACGGCCAGTCTGTCATAGACGCCCCAGTCTGATAAAGACGTAGTCGCGTTTGTAAAGACAGTTTGGTAGCAACATTAACCTACGTGTGGCTACACACCCACACCCGCGAAAATAAACGTTTAAATAATCGTTGGGGTAGATCGTGGGATTGTCATTTGAACCCCCAGCCCCCACAGTACTTTTCAAACTCTGTGTTGCACACGTCAGCGCGTCCGCCAAGAAAACGTATTCCCAAACAGCCGAGTCGAATGGACAGCGTCGGGAATGAAAGCTCGAGAGAATTAAAGGCCCTCTGTCTGGTAGGGATCGGTACTCACTGCAGAGTCCCTGGTAAAGCACGCGGATCTCTCGTCGATGTTGACAGGCCTCCAGGCGGAGCTTACACTCGTTCCCGTAGCTGATGCCGTCGTCGCCGCAAACGGGTTGAAATTCCGCCGGACAGGTCGGACACTCGCAAATCGCCGTGCCGCTGGTCTCCGCGCAGATCGCGCCCCACTGGCAGATCTGCAAAAGGGAATCCCTTTCAATTCGACTTTCGTTTTTTTTTCGTCCTCCTCGACGTTCATGATTCGAAAGACACGGCCGACAATCCCTTTCGCGTTTTTCGTTTTTTTTTTTGTTCATTTATCGAGGCCAGAGCGAACAAAAATTTCGATTAATCGCGGGTGAATCGTGGCTCGACCGCCTTCCGGCGACAGGTAGCCACCCTTTGTCGCCAGTTTCACCTGGATATCCCACGTTAGCTCGCCTTCCAGCGCTTGGCCGGCGCAAAGCCGATAATCTATCGTTCGCGATATTTTATCGCGCCGCCGCCATTTACGCGGCACTTTAATTCGCGGAAATTTAATGTACACACCGTTTCGCGTTCGCGGGTCTTCCGGTTTTTCATTGGCTACGGGGCGAACGTTCGTGCAATTTTTCACGGCGACTATCGCGCCAGCGCTGCGATTAAGCCGGTCAACGTCGTCGCGGAGAAAGATGAGGATAATACGAGGGTAGTTCAAATATAAACGAGACTTTTCCGCTTTAACGCTGGCAAATATCGTTACGCGTCTTCTGTAGCCGCGCCAACTGTTTACCGGGCGCGTTCAACCCTATTCGTCACTATTGATTTAATTTCATTTTGTTCGATTATTAGAAATATTAAAAACAAGCTTGAGAGGGAGATATTTTTAGGTATCATCGTTCCATATACAGGGTTTTCCGTGCACACTTCAGCAGTATGTTCTATAGGGTTATCCAAATTGAGTGTCACATCTTTGAATTGAAATGAAACACAAACTATTTGAGATATTTCAGGTGTTTCTTACTTTAATATAAAGTCCACTTCATAACATTAATCGTGGAACACAGCTTTTTTCACGAGCTGGACTCGTTTTACCCAATTTTCTACTACACTATGACATAATTTGGGTTCTATTTCATTAATGGCGGCTATAATATTGTTTTTTAGCTCGTCAATCGTTTGTGGTTTATTGATATAAACTTCACTTTTCTAAAAATCTCATAGGAGAAAGTCTAACTGAGTTAGATCGTATAATCTTGGGGGGCCAGTTGTCTCCTTCTCGAGAAATCAGGCGTCGAAGTTTATAATAATTTTCAACAATTTGTACACGTTGTTGCACAGTGCAGCGTTTCATGACGATTTGTTTATGTTTAGTGATGACGTGTGTGAAATATAACAAAGAACAATCGAACCGTTTAGTAGTCCCATCTGTTGAAAGATGTGACATTCAATTCGAATAACCCTAGTAAAACTAAGACTAAAGTGTTATATAGGGTGTTCGGCCATCCCTGAGAAAAATTTTAATAGGAAATTCGAGGACAAAGTAAGACGAAAATCCAGAATATTAATTTGTAGGTGCTAACATTTTTCGGCGAAATTAAAAAATTTCAAATTGTTCTAAAAAAATTATTTTAGGTTGCAGGGGTTAATTACCATTGTTTTTGGTGAATAGACATACCCCCGAAATCTTACACACTTTCGAGAAAAAAATTCGACTAGGTGCTGACATTTTTCGGCGAAATTAAAAAAATTCAAATCGTTGTAAAAAAATTACTTGCGGTTGCAGGAGTCAATTATAAGCATTAATGGTGATTAGACATACCCCCGAAATTCTACGCAGTTTTGAGAAAAAAATTCATTACTGAAAATTTCGTATCTGACCATATCGTTGACATTTTTCACTGAAATTTCATGCGAATGTTTAAACTATCATAACTCCTGAACGGATTGGAGGATTTTAATGTTCCAAAAGGCAAATAAAGCGTATTTTAGTGACGAATATGTGGAAATTCTAACAATGTTAGAAACGTCGTTCCTTAACCCCATAAAGTAAGAAAAACCCCATAAAAATGGTCCAATTTTCAAACGACTATAACTCCTACAATAGTGAGTGTATCTCATTGAAATTTAGTCTGGAAGTAGAGCTTATGGGTAGCTACAAAAAAGTATTAGACAACTTTTCTATACGCCGTCAAACTAAATTACTAAAAATCAAAAACGAATTTTTAAGAAAAATCGACAGGGGGTTGCTGCCTTCGACTAAAAAAAAATTTCAAACCATTCTGGAAAAATTATTTTCAGTTGCAGGGTTCAATTATAATCATTTTTAGTAAATACACATACCCCAAAATTCCTAAGCATTTTCGAGATAAAAATTCGTGTACGTGCTGAAATTTTTCGGCGAAAACAAAATTTTTCAAATCGTTCTAAAAAAGTTATTTTTAGTTCCAGGAGTCAATTTCAATCATTTCTGGTGAATACACATACCCCCGAAATCCTACGTACTTTCGAAAAAAAATTCTTTCCCGAAAATATACTGTGTGACCAGAAATGTTTCCCTGAAATTTCATGCGTATGTTTAAACAATCATAACTTCTGGACGAAGTAAAGGATTTTAATGGTTCAGAATTCAAACAATGCATATTAATGTAGCTCTAGAGCCCCCAAAAAATACATCTACTCGTATACTTCACCTGTGGTGAGAACTACAATGCGGAACACTCTGTATAATTTCTCTAACAAGGCAATTTCTCCAGACAGAAGTCTGATTTCTGAATTTATTAAATGTTCAAAATATTTCTTATCATTTCTTATCTTCGACCACATTTTGGGAGTTTTCAAATATAATTTATAAATTGTACCCTCGTATTTTTCGTAAATATTTTTTAGTTCCCTTTCAGCTTTGTTTTACGAAATAAATTCGATGAAAGAGCGAAATTAGTTTGCGTTTCGCGTCCCGTATTGATAAAATGGCGAACCGAAAATTTAAATATATCGATACGCGGTCACGTCATCTCAGAATTACACAGGGTTGTAGAGGGTTAACAGGGTAAAACGGACGAATCCTGTGGCGCGGTAATACCGATCAGATAAAACCGGCGTGTCAAAACCGATCCAATTTACGTGGACACAGACGCCGAGGTTCGCGAATAACGAAGCCAGGTGAAACACGCGAATCGAACCAGAGACCGCGAATCCCAGCGATGATTGAAAATTCTCCTCTGTCCGATAACCAAATTTCTCGTGTAGTATCGTAAAATAATTTATTACGCTGTCTGAAGCATAGATGCGATCAACGATTATCTTATATCGAGTCTGGAGAGGAAAATAAAACAATATGGATGCTAACAATCCCACTACCAAGCAATAGGATCAACAAAATATTTATAACTTCTTTGTGTGTTCTACGCAGAGTAATTAACACGTTGATTGCTCACTGAAGACCGAAATTTTCTATTGTAAGTTCATTTTAAATGATATTTTCCAGTACATAGAATTTAATATGGATTAAATATCTATTTCTACTCATATAGTTAAATTATTATTAAGTAGTTTTATATTTAAAAAAAAATTACTAAATACAATAAATTTTTTAATAACGCCATTAACATTAAGAATACTACAAATTGTTCCCTTGGACTATTAAATATTTATACTTGCTATGTTATAATTTGAACAAATTGGCAATCAACGTGTTAAAATACTGTATCTTTGTTCCAGAGAGATTTTTTAATATTTCTTTTTTATAGAAACATTATTAACATATTCAAAAAATGATATATCATGAACGAAGTGTTCTTTCTTGCCGCTAGAATACAATCAAGTTTGCAATATTCTGACTGTGATCCCAGATTCGTACGAGATATTGATTCGAAAAAAGTTGAATTTCATATTTCTTTTTTATAGAAGCATTATTAACACTAGATTTACGGGCATCGATCGCACGTTATATTTATTGATACCTTTCATGTTGACGATTACCTTAAAATACGATTTTTCTTTTAATTAGAATATGTACGAGTATTTATTCCATTGCATCAAACAAATTCAACGTAAGTTATTAAAAAATAATATTTACGCGTTCTGCAATTTTAAATATAGAATCTGACATCCGTCAAATTGACGAAGTGTTCTTTCTCACCGCTGGAATGCAATCAAGAATATCTGCAATATTCTGACTGTGATCCCAGATTCGTACGAGATATTGATTCGTAAAAAGATGGATTTCGTATTTGGCGTACAGAATGGACTAACCTTCTCCGAGCACGGTCCTCTGGACCCGCAGGTACCCGTGTAGGCGACCTCGATGTTGGTCTTCGTCAAGCAGGCCTGTCTCTTCAGCTCGCACAGCGACGTGTACGTCTTTCCACCCCGTGCGCAGACAGGTCTCATCACTGGCTCGCATTCTGGGCCGCATTCGCAGCTTGCTATTCCTTGTCGGTTAATGACACACTGCTCGTAGGAGACACACTTCGCCTCGTCACACGGATTGATTCCTGCACAATGGCGTAGATTAAAAAATCCCTTTCATTCGCGCGTCATCCTTGGCCGCGATAAAGGTTTTATTTATTCTTCGGTGGAATTACTGGGTGACTATTGGGTTGTATCACAATCGTTTGGATAATTACGAAAGTAGCCTAAGTCAATAATTTAACAAAATTTTTTGCTCTTTATTAGTTCGTATAATCGATCGATTCTATTTCTTTCGATTTTTTACTTGGGCCGCCTTCGTAATCACTAACAATGATTTGCCATTTTCTTAAACAATATAACAACCGAACCAGAGGAACGCTTATAATTCCTGAAGGACACCAATTTGTTCGGAGAAATATAAATCATCGAAGCAATCGTTGGAATGTTAAACTTCATATAAAAACAATAAAGAATAACAATTGTATTACAATTAATCCTGCCAGATAGGGTAAATTGTAATAAAATTTTTAATTATTATTTCTTGCAACTGGTTCAAAAAAGAACTCAACGGAATGCAGTAAATACTGTAGTAAGACAACCATAAATGTAAATATTCGCGTCGAATCTTTGTACGCTGAAAGACGAACTATATTTACATGTTACATGAAAAATTTAAATTGGAGATTCTAGAGGCCAAAATAAGACGAAAATCAAGAATATCAATTTGTTCATTGAGACTTCGTTAAAAAGTTATTAAAAAATTAAATTAAAAAATTTCAAATTGTTCTAAAAAAATTATTTTTGATGGCAGGGGTAAATTGCAATCATTTTTGGTCAATAGATATCCCCGAAATCCTAACCACTTTCGAGAAAAAGAATCATTACTGAAAATATAATGTCTGACTATGGCTGTCTGTTACCCTGAAAATTAAAAAGTTTCAGATCATTCTGAAAACATTATTTTCGGTTGTGGGGGTTAATTTCAATCATTTTTGGTCAATACACATACCCCCAAAATCCTGCGTACTTTCGAGAAAAAAATTCTTTACCGAAAATATAGAAATGTTTCTATAACTTTTTAACGAATCCTCGATCAACAAATTAGTATCCTTGATTTTCGTCTTATTTTGGCCTCCAGAATTTCCCAGGGGTGATCGAACACCCTGTATACTTGAACAACACACAGAATAATTCAATTTAAATTTTTAAATGCGTTATTGCAAAAACAAAACAAGAAAATAAGACGAAAATAGAGTGAATACAATTTATAATTAATATAACCCACAGTAGTATTAATATTACCAATGCTTAGTTTCGTGAATTATTTTTGTTAATAAATCTGTTATTTGCATGGAATTATAAAATGGCAAATAATTGTGGTGCAACCCTGTAGTCGGTAGTCTCGTGATCCGAAAACGAGAACAAGATAAAGAGAAATGGTGTCAGATACGAGAACGATGGAAATTTTTAAATTGGAAAACTTTTCTTTTCGAATGTTAAATTTTCAATTCGCTTTTCTAGCTATCCGATAGTTGGCGGTACTACCGGTTTGTAAACTTGTTTGTTGATATTCAGGCGAGGGAAATGAAATCTGCACGATATTTTCGTCATCCTCGTTTTTGGATCACAGCCACTCCGAAACTATCAGATTAATTCATAAATTAGTGCACTTTTTCCAAGTATATACAAACCAAAATAAAACTATACTATCTTATTTTATATAATCTTTAATGTTTTGCTATTTTAAGAACAATTTACTAATTATACTTTTTACATACAGTAACATACTTTGGCACGAATGGAATTATTTAAATAAATATGTTTGCAGAGGTTATTATCAAAGCATTAAAAATACATGTAAAACAGTTTTCTCAACTGAGCTTTTGAAGGTATACAAACTGGACTGTTAAATGTGCCTTAAAAATACTAAACAACAAATGAAGTCGAATTTCTAATCTATAAAAAAATTATTTCTTAGCAAAAATAAACAACAAGAATTACGATCTCTTCAGACATTCCTTGGACTCATGAATACGAGTACATACGCTTCCAAAAGCCCATTAACTTTGTCAGGAAACATAAACATGGTTGTTAAGTAGCTTTCAAATGCGTTAAAAATATGTGCAATGTTCGATTCGTTACTATGGTGTAATTACAAAGAATTTCGTGGCGTGTTCTATGTCTTGGAAATTTTGATGGTGGAATTCAAAGTACCTGAACTGCAAGCGCCGTTGTAGACCTTTCTGAGCGATAATCTGGATCTGCAGGCTTCCTGCCTGAGGCTGCATTCGTTCGAGTATGTTTTACCATCGCTTCCGCAAACTGGCGAGAACTCAAGGCCGCACTGTTCGCCGCAACGACAGCCTGGTTGCCTCGCGTCGTCCAGCTGACAGACTTCCGGTTCTATGCACTCCACGTTACTGCAAGGATCTAAAAAATTAAATTGCAGACATGCATGGATTAAAATATTTCCGTAGTTTGAAATTAGAAAATTTCAAATTTTTAGACAAATCTAGAATTTAACAATCAAACACCAAATACTGATATATAAGACTCGAGCGAAAAATAACAATCGAGAATGCAATATATCGTTGAAGTTAGCTTATAACAATGATAGTCAAACTTTTTTACGAGTGGTCGAAGGGAAAAAAAATTTTGATGGGCCAATATAATTTATTATAAAAAGTAATAAACTGTCCTTTCAAAATCTTGTTTTTATTTTTTTTTTCAATTTAAAAGCAATCAAGTGTATTTCAATAATTTTATATATTTTAGGGCGAGTTTCATTTTTTGTACACACAAAAGTTTTTAAATTGATTTTTATATAAATTTTCTACATTTTGCATATGCGAGAAATATTCAGATTTCTATGGAAATTGTTGCATATGCAAAAAATGGAACAAGCCCTTAAATGAAGTTTTTTGAAATATTGAAATTGAAAATTTCTACATTGTTGTTTTAAAATCGGGGACGGACTGGATGGAACCTCTATGGAATATAATATAAACGCGGGTTCTTTGCTATTTTGAAAGCAATTACATGCTTCATAATACGATTTGTTAATAGAATTTTCAGGTTATAGGTTCACTGATGGAACAGGGGAATTTTTATCATCTCCAAATTGATATACTTGGGTAAATAGTTATTGAATAGGTTATTCTGCAGACGCAGGTTAGCGTAAAATTGTGTAACAACTGGGGATCCAAAATTTCAAAGTGAAAATTCGATGTGAGAACCTGGGTACAGCAAATCTTTGCATAAAAGCACGATTAATTTTCAGTTTCCAGAAAAGGACAGCGAATAAAGCATAAATAGGAATAATACAATGTGAAACTTATTTACTTTTTATTTTTTGTTAATGGGACCTTTACTAATATATTTCTGAGGCTTTTCTGACTAAAATAAGACCAAACACGATAACTTGCATCATATTTACGTATTTAACGAGATTTCCTACTCTATCAGAAGTAGGTTAAAAACAAATTATACCGTGTTTGGTCTTATTTTAATCAGAAAACTCTCACAAATACATTGGTAAAATTTTCATTAAAAAAAAAACAAAACTAAGAAAGTTTCATTTTTGCATCATGCATGTATCGTCTAATCGATATTCGAGCCCAGGTCAGGTTATACTCGACGTTCAGTTTTTTTTATTTTGTTCACTTATTCAACCGAAAATGACTGTTATCCAAGCATCGTCGTGTCCAGTTATTTACATTAGGCTTGATAAATTGAATAATCGTCCTTCGTAGCAACAGGGAGGAAACGTTTCATGGAAATTTACGCGGCAACAGAGGCAGATGCAGGTTAGCTGGCGTCAGATTGATAAAGACAGATAGAAAGAGCCTGGCGAGAAGTATACGCGGCCTCGCGAGGAGGCCGGGTCAGGGGTTCGAAGGGGTTACGTGGCGCAGGTAGAAGCATGGCTAAGCCGAGATTAATCTTCGCCCTCGACCAAGGAAGGAAGTTGGATTCCGTTTCCTGTCCGTAGGCGGTAGGTTTCGACCTTATAGCGAGGCTGACGCGGCAAGTTCCCGAGGCGGTGGTGTTTCTCGGGGTTAGTTCGAGTTACAGACCAGCGGAGCGGCTAAACTCGACCCTTCCGTAACCACCCTCGTTTCTTCCTCGCCCGCCGTTAGTTTAGTCGCTCGTCCAGAGTTGTAATCGAAGCCCCACCACCGTCTCGTGTGTACAAATATTCTTGAATCCTTTGAAACAGCTTCGTTTTCGTCGCGGTGTCTTCCGACGGGGACCGTCGATCCTCGATAGAACAATATTTGCGTAGCTTGATTCGTTTCTAACGTTGTTCGAACCGTTTCTCGATTCGATGCGACTGATGCCCGCCGGCAACTATCGCGTTCGTCACCACAGGGATTTCTGTTTTATCGTTTTCCTGACAATACACATTCTGGTGGAAGCTTTGTTGCAAGAATTTGGCGATTCTTGGTGTTGATAGTAATACTTTTCGTTCGTTAATGGCTGTGCAAATCGATTCTGATTAGACGTCAATTTTATAATGACTGGATGTACTGTGCATCTGTGAGAAATTGGCTAGCGGGGCGTGGTAGAGGGGAATGGGGAGCACTTTGCTTGTTCCAGCTATCCCCACTTTCGTCGTTTCAGCCAATCGATACGTAGATCTAAGCATCAATCAAACCTGCGTCCTTTTTACGTTTATAAATCATTTTACAGTCAATTTTAGATTTCTAGTTTTACTGTAAAATGTAGTTTAAGGTAAATCATACCTCGGATCAGAGTTTCCCAAACTTTTATCGACTTGAACAAAGCACATAACACATATACACATATCTTAAGTGCATTCTATTAACCTTCTTCAAAAATGTTTGCATCAACGAGAAGCTCTATTAATACAAAAAAAATATCACGCACCTGGCATGACTATTTCAGAGAGTACGGATATTTCAAGATTCACTGTACATCGGTTGCACCTACGTCATTTCGTGTTTCATCGATTTTACAGTTACTCGTTCACTTTGCGTTTCAAAGACCCAACCGTGAGAAACATTCCGGATCCGGTATTCCTCTCTCAGTACTAGAGGATCTGTTCGGAGATACTGGTCACGACTTGTCCTCGAAAATAGCGAAACTACGGATCTCGAAACTGCCGGGCTAACTTCACGCAACATTACCCTGATGTGGATTTCTTTCTACAATCGCCAGGCTGGACCGGATGATCCCTTCTATATCGGCGTCTGCTCGTCGTTATTCCGGGGAACGGTGCGCGCAACGACGTCGATGCAACCACCGAATGGGGCCAAAGTACAAACGTCCCAAGAAAAAAAAATGTACTAAAAGTATTAGAGGCTAAGACATATTGCACGTTTCAGGCTCTACTTTATTAACCCCTTGCACTTCGAGAGTATTTATTAATATGAACCATTAGCAATACCAAATTAAATTTTGTGCGATTTCTAAATATAAAAAAATATTCTTCCTTCCACAAAAATATGTATATGAATAAATATAATTTAAATTTAATTTATACAGGGTGCTCGGTCACCCCTGGGAAAAATTTTAATGGGAGATTTTAGAGGCTAAAATACGACGAAAATCAAGAATATCAATTTCATGAATAAGGCTTCGTTAAAAAGTTATTAAAAAATTTCAAATCATTCTGAAAAAATTATTTTTGGTTGCGGGGGTAAATTACAATTATTTTTGGTGAACAGACATACATCCGAAATCCTACCCCGTTTCGAGAAAAAAATTCCTTACCGAAAATGTAATGTCTGACCATATATTGACATGTTTCCCTGAAATTTTTCCGCAAAAACAAACTTTTAAATCGTTCTGGATAAATTATTTTCGATTGCTCGGGTTAATTACAATTATTTTTTATGAATAGACATACCACTGAAATCCTACGCACTTTCGAGAAAAAAATTCTGGAAGGTGGACTTTTTCGGTGAAATTGAAAAATTTCAAATCATTTTAAAAAAATTACTTTTAGTTGCAGGGGTGAATTACAATTATTTTTGGTCAATAGACATACTCTCAAAATCCTACCCACTTTCGAGAAAAAAATTCATTCCTGAAAATATAATGTCTGACCAAAACGGAACGATTCCCCTTAAATTTTTCGGCGAAAAAAAAAATTTCAAATCGTTCTAAAAAAATTATTTTTATTTGCAGGGGTCAATTACAATCATTATTGGTGAACAGACATACTCGCAAAATCCTACCCACTTTCGAGAAAAAAATTCAATACTGGCGGAACTTTAAACGTTAATAACTTTTTAACGAAGCCTCCATCAATAAATTGGTATTCTTGGTTTTCGTTCTATTTTGGTCTCTAGAATCTCCCATTACAATTTTTTCCAGGGTTGGCCGAACATCCTGTATATTTTCTAAATCTAGCAGGAGAAATATTTTAATTTATAAAATTTGGAGCTTCCAAATAATTCTGACGACTGAGTATTCAATTTGTGTATCGCAAGTTTGTAATGAAAATGACTTTATTTGGGAGTCAATTGCAGCAAGTATTAAAATTTTCGTAAAACATGATGATGCAGTACATTTAAATATTCGAATTATAATTAATCTTGTTTTATATTAGTAAGTATTCAAATGTTAGAATTTGTATTATTCGAAAGGACATTCGTCACGATTTAAAGGTTTCGAAATAACTGTGTTTTCTCATAGTGTTCAGTTAGAAAAGGACATTCCAACATTTCTCTACTTTGTGGCTAGATCCTTTAGGAACAAGATCTTATTCTTTGGTAATACAATGTTGGAACTTTTGTCATCCTTGCTCAATATATAAAGGACAACTAATTATCACCCTCAAATGAACATTTTTATTACAACATTATACCCTTCAAAAGATATGCATAATTATTAATTATGATATGTTGAAGTTATATTTACAAACAATTGATAGAAATAGAGAAAGCAAAAATAATAATATCCCAATAGGAAAAAAATTGATAATACAATTATATTAAAAACAGAAATTACTACAATTATTTAAAAAAATTACTTTGTCAGATTCGTATTATATAGATTGTCTTTGGACATTTCAAATTATCAAATTACAGTGTGAAAGATAAAAATATTCAATAATTAATGCGCAAGATTATGATTTGATCACCATAGTCAACGTGTTAAATTTATATTAACCATTCTGAAGTGTAAAAACGAAGCAGGGGCGAAGAATAATGAAAATGCAATTTGAAATGACAAATATTCTTAACTCGAAATTCACGTTACTCCTTCCACCCCGAGCCATTTTTACTTTTCAAGTTGAAGTCACGGTCGTTCAATTTGCCTCACCATAACTATGCTGTACGAAGTTTCGCAACTCCCTTACCCAGAACTTCACGTATTTTCCTCGTCGCTTCGGTAACGTTATAGTGTTGTTTCCAATTACGACGCAAAAAGCTTCAAAACTTTGACTTTTTCGTATTTTG